TATATATATATAACACAGATACCAAGGATTCAGGGTATGAAGGGAAGACAGAGGACACAGAAGGTGGCTAAACTGCAAGCCAAGGAGAGAGGCCTCAGGAGAAACCAACCCTGCAACACCTTGATCTCCAATTTCTGTCAGAAAGAAACAAAACTTGGGAATTCTACCTCCTTAAGGCAGAAATCCTATTTTGTCCCTGTGTTTCTAGTGCCTAACTAGGTGCCAGTATACAGCAAATGAATAATAGTTTGCTATAAATGAGCCATAATATAAAGGATGTTTTATTACTCATTTATAAGTATATAATGCAGAGGAGCCCTCACTTGATTATCTCTGATGAAGCATGCATACATAATTGATACCTAAAATATAAATTCTCCCCTCTCATCAACCTACTGCCAAGACCAAAGAAAGTAATTTACACCTCCCCCCCCACCCCTGCTCTGAGTGAAGAGTGAGCTGCCCTGGCTAGGATAATCCATGCAGAGCCAGAATTAGCTACAAGTGAGATTCTGAATCCTAACCGAACAGATTATTCTCATTTGGATAGTTAGGTGTTTAGAAATATTTTTCTCCCAGTCAAGTGAGGAGTTTTCTTTTTCCTGTAAAAAATTTTAATAAGAATCTCTTTGAAAATATTTCAGTGGTCAGAGATTGTACTAAAATACATACATACACAGTTGTATAAATGGGTTTAGGTCAGGGTGATATGAAACAGTAAGCCTTACAAATCAATCACTTTCAATTGTGTTGTCCCACAGACTTTTCAAATAAACTTGTAATTTGAGTTGAGCACCTTAGCAAACTTATTAAGTATTAATATTTGCTAATTAAGAAATAGGAGAAGAACCAAATCAAATAATAAAAGAGTTGTTTCCAGAATGGCAACCTTTTGATGTTATGAAACATAAAAAGAAACTAAACACCTGAAGAAGATAATAAGATGTCAGTTTCCTAAGTTTTAATTTGGAAAGCTGAGGAAGGAGAAACAAAAATTTAACACCATTCTCAGCAACTTAGAGAGACTGTCTCAAAATAAAAAAAAGGGTTGGGAATGTAACTCAGTGATAGAGTGCTCCTGGGTTCAGTCTCCAATACAGCAAGAAGACAAAACAAATACAACAACCACCAAACGCCCAGATCATTATAGTTATGTAAGATGGTACCAACAGGGACAATTGGGTGAATGGCACATAGAAGAAAGAAAGAGAGAGAGAGAGAGAGAGAGAGAGAGAGAGAGAGAGAGAGAGAGAGAGATATGACAGCAAGAGAAAATAGTAAATATAGACAGGAAATTTTAGAAAGAGAACTTACACATAGTGTAAGGCAGTTATATTGCCAAGTTCAGATAGCCTTTTAAGGAGCTATCCAAAATTAATAAGTGCTCCCAACACATTAACATACATGTATACACAGACACATAAAATTATACTTGCAAAAGTAGCAACCTATTTTAAAAAAAATTTTTTAGTTGTTAATGGACCTTTATTTTATTCATTTATTTATACGCAGGGCAGAGAATCAAAACCAGTGTCTCCCACACGTGTGGCAAGCTCTGTACCACCGAGCCACAACCCCAGCCCCTGGCATCCTATTTTTAATGTTTAAACCAAAGTTTCCAAAGATGTCTAGAGAGACAAAAATATTGTTTGTGAAAGACAATTTTGTGAAAACCACAACAATGATTATTTGCTCTTAAGAAAGGAAACATTTATTGCCATCAAAGAAAAATATAAAAGATTGGTTATAAAGGAAGAAAAATATACAAATTCTACCACCTCATTCCCAGAACTACATAGACACTTTCAAAAATTTCCTTTATCTATTAATAAGTCCTCAGAGCAGCCAGCCCATACACTCCTGGGGGTATACACATCTCAGACTATTCCATAAAGATCTGAGAGCACATATTTTCTGGTGAAATGGTTAACACGCAGGGAGAGACTGCCCATGATATAATTCAGAGTTATACATTTAGTCAGAATCCCCTTGCAATGACAAAATGTTAGTGTCACACTTTACAGCATTCTTGGCAGCACTCAAATCATATGACACGATGAACTCTTACAACAAGTGGAACAGTTTTCATTTTCTTGTTGCCAAACAGACAGTAAATTGTGAGGGAGAAGTAAAAACACAGAGAAGTTCCTCCATAACACTCTACCTTAAAGTACATTTTCATAGTAAAAATCCCCAAACCAATATAGAATTCTGCTTGGCTGGACACTTATCTTTCCCTTTTAACTATTAAAATAAGCCAGGTTTGGTGGCCTGTAGTCCCAGGTACTCAGAAGACAGAAATGATAGATCCCAGGAATTCGGGGCTAATCTAAACAACAGAGCAAGATCCTTTTTTGAAACAAACAAACAATTAAAGCAGCAAAGCAGTATGGTGTGAAGAAAGGGGGAAATTAGGGCAAGAAAAACCTGAGCTCAAATTCTGGCTTTTCCAGATATTAGTTTTGTTACCTTAGGGAAGTCACAATGTCTCTGAACCTCAATGTCTTTGTAACTAAAATGGATATAATAATACCTATATCTCAAGGTTAGTCCTAGTACTGGAGAAGATATTTAAGCAACTTACACAATTCTGTGTAAGAAGTGTATACTCAATAAGTTTAGCTCCCTCAGTTTTTCCAAAATGACACTGCAAAATATTTAGTTTGTCATGAGTCAAAATAATTGGCTAAGCAGTAAAATGAAAAGGGCAAGAGAATCTAACTCTAATATTATTCAATCTTTCCATTAATCACACAGTTCATATTTGGATTTATTGGTATTATTTTGGAACCACATTAATATTTGATTAGATCCTCTTCCTTGCAAGTAGGGTTTTTATTTTGTCTTCAACTGATTTAACAAAAGATGACATGTCATTAATCCTTTTATTCAGATAACAGTACAGCCTGTTACAGAGAGCAGGTAAAAATCAGTTTTCATGTTTACTCATGAGTCCAATAAAAAGAATGACATGGAACGGAATCAGCGAAAGGTTATAGAATTTGTCTCCCAAGGCTGATGGATATATTTTTCTGTGTCTCTTGAACCTCCAATATTAGTGTCATAGTGGCAGCACCCAAGAACTGTAAGGGTGCGCAAGCTTTCTAATTGCAGAGGGTTTTGTTTTGTTTTGGAGGGCGGGTACTGGGATTGAACTCAGGGGCACTTAACCACTAAACATCCCCAGCCCTTTTTAATATATAGAAACGGGTCTCACTGAATTGCTTAGGGCCTCACTAAATTGCTGAAGTTGGCTTTGAACTTGTGATCCTATTGCCTCAGTCTCCCAGCTGCTGGGATTACAGGAGTGCACCACTGCACGGGCTACAATTAGGATCTTCACGTGGAATCTTTGAGCTTATTCGGAGAGTTCTGGAACCTGCAGTCCCTATATATGTTATGTGTATGCGCATTTCCTGCCTTTTTCATCAGGAGGCTGCTAAACCATCACTTCCTCTCAGAGGATCTTCTCCAGCCAAAGGCCTTGTCCATAAAATGTTTCTCATCACAGTTTCTTGCAGAGTCGTATTTACAAGCTGTCATCACCTGGTTTATCTACATCAGTGTATCTATCTCACTAGAAAGCAAGATTCCCAAGAGCAGAGCCTGGTCTTTCCCAGTGCTTTCGACCTGGTGTGCCTCGACAGATACTTCTGGAATGAATGACTGACAGGTCCGCGTCTGTCAGATTTTATTTTATTTTTTCCACCTGAATACTGGGTCTTGTTGATTCCCAAGCTGGCCTGAAATTCACAGGCTCCGGGACTACAGGTGCGCACCATCGCGTCCGGTTATCCGATTTTTAACAGACTCTAAACTCTTCCTTTCACCTCACTCCGCCAAGCATTCTTCTCTAGAAATCATTTTAAAATAATGCAATTCCATTTTGTAAATATGGCTTGCAGCGTTTCAACCACGCCCATCCGCACTCTTTGGCTTCCTACAGCCAGAGCGCCACTCCCGCCCACTTACCCAAGCCCACAAAGTCAGGCGGTTTAGAGGCGACCCCGGCAGGTGCAACCGTGAGCCAGCACACTTATCAATTCGCCTATCAGTCAGTCCCTGTCCGGGGTCAGGGGATACGCCTGCCTCGAAGAGCCCTGGGCCTCCGCCCCACCGGTGGCTCAGGCCCCGCCTTACCGGAGGCCGCGCTCCCCGCCCTTCCTTCTTCCCTCCCGCGCCACCCCAGTGGCTCGCGGTGGCGGAGTGGGGAAGCAGGCACACTGCTGCCTGGGACATCTCTACCGTCAGCCTCGGGTACTTGGCTCGCCGAGGCTTAGTCCGGCCGCAGCGCGCGGCGCTCGCGGGCCGTCCTGGCCACAACTACTTCCGGGTGAGCGGGTCGGTGACCCCGTGGCCCCGCCCCTCCTTGGCCGCCTCCGCCTGCCGCTGGGGCTGCGGCTCATCCCGGGGCCGGTTCCCGCTGTCTCAGCCGCCGCGCTGAGGGCGCACCAGCTTGATAGATCGGCCGCCGGTGCTGGGAGCCACCGCTTTCAGCTCGGCCCTCCTGGCTGGGAACCCGGGACCGACTCTGGCCGCAGCGACCCTCGCCCTTCGTCGCTGTGCCGGGCGGGTGCCGGGCCGGCCAGCCGCGCTCCGGCCCTTCCCAGGCGGCGCCGCAGCCACAGCCCGCCCAAGAGGCAGGTAAGGGCCGCTCCTCCCGCCCGCTTAGTGTGAGCAGGGAGCTGGGAGGCCCCTCTTCCCGGCCTCCGCAGCCCAGAGGATCCGCGCCGCCGCCGACCCCTGTTGGGGGCCGGGCTACCCTGGGACTGCCCAGCTCCTGGGCCCGGTCGCCGCTTGACTGCCGAGATCTCGGGCATCTTCTGTCGCGCACCCTCCCTCCGCGGGGTGGGAAGGTGTTATTCCAGTTGTGGGAGAAATTAAATTGGACGGCTGCTCCTCTGACACGGGTGTCCGCAGCTCCTTCTGTTCCCGACGTCACACTCAGGGTTTCGGTCCCGGGAGAAGCACTCCCGGGAACGGTGTCAGGCCGATGGACGGCGTAGCATTTTTATGGAATTTTTTTTCTCTTTGCTCTTTTGACCTGAACTGAAGCGCGGGCTAACAGGAGCTAGCTAGGTGGGTCAGGGTTAATGCTTGACTAATATGGGGCATTATTCACACCCAGATTGTTGAGTTATACAGTTGCAGTCAGTCCTGGCTTCCTTTTTCTGTGGATATCCAGCCAGAAGAAGCCCCCTTCCTTTTCTTGGGGAGAAAAAGATTCAAGTGTTTGCAGTATTTTTTATACCGTGGGAGTTACAAATATCAGCTTTCTGAGACACGGCTGGGGGAAAGCTGTAGCCTAAATTTTAATTGTTTATAGCTTGTTTTCTTTTAATGACTCAGCATTTCTGCCACAAACAGAAAAACTGTAATTTAATTGACTAAAAGCAGTATGTAAGGATGACAGAATTGCTGTTAATTTTTATGTTATCACATTGAGAAGAGAATGTGGATGTAGTAGTGGAACTGAGAGATGGAGAGGAGGGTAGGGATGAGTAAGTTCTTAATCAGTGTTTAAAGAAATATTTTTTTCAAAATAATACTTTATTTGGTGATAATCTATATGAAAAGCTGCAGTTGTTGGAGAGTGCAAAATGTTGCAGGTAAAGTTAGTTGGCAGGAACTTCCAAGTATGCCACGGTTTGAAATTCTTGAAGTAAAACCCCGTTTCACCAATGTCATGCTCTGTTTAACAAATACAGAGATGATGACCTACTATACTTGTATAGAATAAGAATTTTGGAAAGTGTGATTCATATAGGAAGTTAGATCACTCACCTTGTGAATCACTGATATGGATCTTAACAGTGAAATAGAGGAAAACTAAGTTTGTTTCTGCTTGTTTAATTAGATGCCTTTACTTATTTTATAGGAAGTGTTAGGTTTGTTGCTGAATGGTTTTTGTCATAAAGTATGCTAAGAAAATGACAATTGAAATTTTGCAAAATGCTTTAATTACTAAGTGGATTGTTGTGATTTTGCCCATTTTTTTTTTTTTTTCTTTTTGGACTAGATGTGGCAAGATAAATGAAGGGGTGTAGAAGCAAAATAAATGACCCTGGCAAGGAGAACTACCATCACTAAGGTATGAAAAAGTTAACTGAAAGAATTTGCATTATACAAAATAGACTTTTGAGTGGAATGCCTTACCCATTTTGCCATTCTATCCTTAAAAATATAGAATGAGACTATACTGTTAATTAAGTTTTGTTACAGAAGAAAGTGTGTATTGAATTTGTGATTTATTTTTGGAATGGATTGATATTAAACTAGAAATAACTTTTTATTGCTGAAATGTAATTTGATCATTTTTGGCTTTCAAAATGTTGTTAAGCAAAATAACTTTGAATCACAGAGGTCTTGATACTTTTAACCATGTTTTTCTTTTCCTTTTTTTGGGAGGGGGGATTCAGCTTGTTTTATTTTTCACTCATGAAGACCTTCAATTAGTTATTTTTTTAAAGTAATACCAAACTTATCTAATTGGTCTTACTTACAAAATTTCTTTAATTCTTTGGCATCCTTTTTTACCTTTATGTATTTTTTTTTTGAGAATTTTAATATTTATTTATTTTTTTTAGTTTTCGGTGGACACAACATCTTTGTTTTGTATCCGGGCCGCACGCATGCCAGGCGAGCGTGCTACCGCTTGAGCCACATCCCCAGCCCCCCTTTATGTATTCTTATTTTCAGTATTCTCTAATGTTGCTTTTGATTTTTGTCCAGCTGAAAGTGACTTAAGAGTTTCAGTTCCTTTCGAATAGAGATTCCCTTTTGGAAAATCCCTTGTGGAAACCACCATAACTGACAGCCTTGGTGGGCAAATATGCAAGTGAATTCTTCTTAGGTCAAAATTTAAGCATCTCAATAATGAAGGAAAAAAGAGATATGCAAAATATATTTGGCAATGTATCTCTTAAAAACAAATTTTTACTAGAAATGAATTTAGCAAGAGGGAGGGCGCACTTTCTTGCAAAGCTCTGTGAATTGTTTATCCTGGTCCTAGTGTAAAGAACACAGTTCATGGTGTAGAGGGAAAAAAATTCTTCTTGCAGTGTGCTGGGAATGTTGATGAGGATCATTGAGAAGGAAGTAAAATTCTTGTCCTTAACATAGGAGCACTATCTATTGCACCTACAAAATAGAAACCATTTCATAGCCTTTTCCTTTTAGGTAGTCACTTTCTCTCTGGAGAATCTGAATAGAGGGATGATTCCATGACTAAAAAAAAAATGTAATATACTTTTCCAGTTTGCAAATAAAGATTAGGCTCTATGACCATCTTTCAAAACTGAGCTTTTAAAACTTTTAAAGGAAGGAATTGAGCAAAATTTACCTTGTGAGTAATCTACTTCATTCTTTTCTCCATTTTCCCTTCTAAGATAATAGATAGGATATCTTTGGAAGTGATTTTTTTTTTTAGTGTTGCACTTTGCACTTCCACTTTTAAAAACTTGAAATAAATTAGGCTAGACTTAAAAGGAATGCGATACTAGGATAAAAACTGGGTTTATTGTATGCTATACTCTTTCATTTGTTCTATTATTTATTGATTTTGGTGGAGTTAGGGGAACCAAGAGAATTCTACTTCTTGGATAGTCTCTGATACTTGCTACATATGTATACATTTGTTTTACTCTAGTGATACACAAAGCAATAGGTAAAAGTAGAGATGGTTAGGAAGAGGGAAAATGGCATATATAGGATAATGCTGATTTCATGGGTTTAGTAGAACTTGTGGGATTTTTAAAAATTGATAAAATATTTAAAAAGAAAATGTAAGTTTCCTTTCTGCCACAAACTCCTAGGTTTTCCTTACCCCTACCTCCTAATCCAAGCAAGCATTGCTAATGGTTTTTGTGTGTCTTCTCAATTTTTTATTATATGTATACAAGCATACGTTTAGGAGAAATATCCTGTACCTTTCATTCTAATCCTTGATGTATCTTGGAACCCTCCCATACATATATATTTATATGATGAACGTATATATTCACCTCATTTTTTCTAAAGATTGGATGTCCTGCTTAGTGTAGATGGATCCTGATTTATTCATTTTCCATAATTTACCATTCCCTACTAACAGACATTTAGATTGTTTTTAGACTACTACAAGCACTACTATAATGAAAAACTTGTAAAACAAGTCTTGGCTCTAGTTTTTAAGTATGTATATATAGTGTATATTTGAATGTATGACTGGGAGTTTGGGACTTAAGTTGTGAAAATTTAAAAATTTATTTAAATCCTATATTGGACTATATAGGCTTGTAGAAGAAAAGACTTCTTAATTACTTTGTATTCTCTACCCATTTTTTCATTAAAAAAACTGCAAATGTATTTTATAAGGTGATTTAAGACATATTAGAGTATCAGATGCTTAATTTCATTTGTTTCAATTAGAAACACGGTAGTTTGAAGACTGGTATTTTCACATACAAACCATTTATATTTGGTAATAGTTAAGTGGCTACATCTTCTTCAGTTGTTTCAGAATTTTATGTTTTATGTCAATTAATAACATTGTATATATGCTGGACTTATTGCTGGGCTTGATAGCCCAAGCCTATAATCTGAGCCACTCTGGGAGCTGAGGCAGGAGGCTTGCAAGTTCAAGGCCAGTCTCAACAATTTAGGAAGACCCTGTCTCAAAACAAAATTTAAAATGGACTGGGAATGTAGCTCAGTAGTAGACCGCCCCTGGGTTCAAACACCAGTACTGAAAAAAAGAAAAGTATATAGTCTATTTAATTTTTTGTACTGTTGAAGTCTGCTAATATTAATAGTTAATAATTATAATTATTAACAGTTAATATTAATAGTTAATAATTATAATTATTAATAATTATAATAGTTAATAATAAATAATAATAATTAATATTAATAGAGAAATAAATAGTTTGACTTCTTCCTTTACATTCTGCATCCTAATCTGTTTGTAATAAAAATACAAATAGATTCTGTGGAAGCTGGGCTCGGTGGCACATTGCCTGTAATCCCAGCAGCTTGGGAGGCTGAGGCAGGAGGATCACGAGTTCAAAGCCAATCTCAGCTAAGTGAGGTGCTCAACCACTCAGTGAGACCCTGTCTCTAAATAAAATACAAAATAGGGATGGGGAGATGTCTCAGTGGTTGAGTGCCCCTGAATTCAATCCCCAGTATCAAAAAACCCAAACCAAACCAAAACAAACAAAAAAACCAACTTTTTTGGAGCTTGGGATCTGAAAAATCTCTTTGTAATTCATAGTGTTTTTGATGGATTGATTTTTCACGGCAGGAAGAAGGTACAGATTCTTTTGTTGTGGTGGTGCTAGGAGTTGAACCTGGGGCTTCACACATGCTAGGCAAGTGTTCTACTACTGAGCTGCATCCCCAGACCTTCAGATTCAGTTTTTATTCTGCAAAGCGTTTGTAAGCAGAATAAGGGAGGTCCAGTTTTTAAATTTTGATTAACATAAAAGTTCACTAATGGCCAGGAGGAGGTTTAAGATCCTTTGTCCTCTTAAATGAGAGAGACTAAAGAAAAAAAGTTAAGTGCTGAGAAGTTCAAGTATGATGAAGTTGGAACTTGTGAGTGGCAGTTTCCCTGGCTGGTGCCCGGGATCTATTTTGAGGCCTTGTCAAAGCTCATCTGACAGAACCTACCACATATCTGTAATCTGGCCTGGCCCTGCTGCAAGTCAGGAAGGCTTGTGGTTTAGGAAAAGTGGCAACCACAGAAGAGGGGATTATAAAGGACATTTGTCTTCATAAGATTAAGGCTCTTTTGGGGCTGGAAATCTGCTTAGGGTGTATCCCAGGATCTAGGTTTTTGGCTATTTTATTTATTTATTGTTTTGGAAAGAGGATGATTAGGGAAAACTGAGCAAGTTTTTATAAAGAGATGTACAAGGAGAGCAAAGAATTGTCACAGCACTGATGTTATATTCTAGTTATTTGAGAGTGTTTGCCAGGGATCAGTGGAATGTTTTACAACAAGGGAAAAATCATTACTCTTACTGACACAGGGAGGCCATACCATAATTTGAAATAGCCTTCCAATTCAGACACCTTCACACTTGTCACTGGGATCACAAATGTGAACTCTTGGACTTTTGGAATGATAGATTGTTTTACAGGATTATTTTGAGTTCAGATAAATTAGCTTCTTCTCAAATTCTTATTCTGTTTTTTCCACAAAAGTATAGAGTACCATGTAGTTTTTGCTTTAAACTCTTAGTTGTTACCAGATGCTGTCTCCTAGCATAGTTGTGTCCCTGGGTCATGTGGTGCCTCATGAAAACCTTAATGTTTTCTATATTTAGTGAATGAAACACTTGAGTTTATAGTTCTTTAGCTATGTCACTTCTTAAACTAGAAAGCTGTTAAGGAACTTAGTGTTCCACCCTTTGACCAAGGTTCACATTAGTGTATTTAACTGCTATATTACAGTCAAAGTTGTTTGAAGAATTCAGCATGCAGACTTAATTTATAGACACAAGCCTGCAGATGGTTTCCCTTTCTTTTGTTTAAGATTAGGTTGTGGCTCCAGGAAATATAGTTTCTCCTTGTCCTCAAAAATTGGTATTGTAGCATTTTATGATGATGGTATATTTAGGATTCAGTGTGAGGAGGAAAAATAAAATAGTAGTGTTTTTCTTTTCTTCCTTAATGCTATTATTTGGTTTATTCCTATTATTCTTTCCCTGTCTCAGCTTTTCCCTCCTAGAAGAAGAGGTTAAGCAGTTGGGAAAAGCCTTAGGGTGCATATCAAAATGTTTTTATTTTTTCAGAGGTAGAATATTATCCACCTCCCACCCTACCCCAATTAAAGAATCATAGCTCAACTTTTTCTGTTGTTTTTACTTTGAAACCTATATATACCTTTATTATGAACATCAGAATTTTAACTAGTTTTTATATATTTTTACTGCTTTAGGAAATATGTTTAATTTTTTAAATTGCTCTGAACACTTTGTTGTTATTTCTACAGTCCCACTTTTCAAGTAGAAACATTTTAACAGCTTGGAGCAATCTTGACTATTTTAAAGTTAAAGAGTATACTTTCTGCAGAGGCACACTTATTTTCCTGTGAATGGTTTAAATCATCTATGTCTGATAACAAACAATACGTTTAGCAAGCATATGTGTCGTAGCTATTTTTTTTTAAATTAAGTATTTGGTCTAAGTGATTCAAGCATTATAGGACTAAAGATAGAAAAAATTTAAGTTTTAGATGTGTTTTTTTTTTTTCTTGTCATGAATAATGATATCTATATTTATCTTTTTATCTATCTGTCTGTCTATTTATCTGTCTAGTCATTGCCCTCCTGGTCTTGCCAATTTCATTTTTTGTGATCTACAAGTTTGTTTTGTTTTTTGGTACTAGAGATTGCACCCAGGGGTGCTCTACCACTGAGCTACATCCTCAGCCGTTTTTATGTTGTATTTTGAGACAGGGTCTCTTTGAGTTGCTGTTGGAATCACTTAGTTGCTGAGGCTGTCCTTGAATTTTTGATCTTCCTGCCTCAGCCTCCTGGGTTGCTGGAATCATGGGCATGTACCACCATTCCCAGAGACTTTTTTTTTTTACTTTTAAACATTTTTTGCTCCCTAGTACGCCCTTCTGGCACAAGTAAAGCTTTACCTTGCCCCAAAACAAAAAACAAAAACAAAAACATTTTTTGCATTACTGGGGATTGAACTCAGAGCTTTATACTTGCTAGACAAGCATGCTACCACAGAGCTACATCCCCAACCTTTATTTAAAAATTTTTTTTAAATGTTTATGGTTATTTTTATTTTTTAAATTTTTATTAGAGTATTATAATTATAGTTGGATTCATTTTGACAAAATCATACTTGCAAGGAATTTGATTTCAGTCACCGTCCCCTTTTACCCTCTTCCCTCCTCTTTTTCTTCCTCTTCTATCTACTGATCTTCCATTTATTTATTTATTTATTTATGGATGGTACTGGGGATTGAACCCAGGGGCACTTAACCACTGAGTCACATCCCCAGCCCTTATTTATATTTTAGAAATAGGATCTCATTGAGTTACTTAGGGCTTCGATAAGTTGCTGAGACTGGCTTTGAACTCGAAATCCTCCCGCCTCAGCCTCCTGAGCTGTTGGGATTACAGATGTGCATCACCACACCCAGCTCCTTTATTTATTTTTCATTGGTACTTTCTACATATACATAAAGGTGAAATTCCTTTTGGCACATTTATATGTTATATAACATGATTTTTATTAAATTCATTTCATATTTCTTCCCCTTTCCCTTCCTTCCTCCCTCCCTCCTCCTCATTCTCCTACTCCACCACTTCCCCCCCACCTACAGCCTTCTTTCCCTTTTTCTGCTCCAGTTTCCATGTATGAGATACCTGCACATTGAAAACATGAAATATGGTGGAATGAAATTAAAGAAGACCTAAGTAATTGGAAAGAATCCTATTTTTATGAATTGGAGTCTTAATATTATTAAGATGGCAGTTGTCTTCAGATTGGTCTATTGATTCAGTGTAACTGCTTTGTAATCCTGATTACCTTCTTTTTTCTTTTTCAACCATTTACCCCCC